TATGAACCATCCGATTTTAAATTGGGTTCCAGTCCATGCGTTGTGCAGTGTAGAGTCTTTGACCAAGACTTTATCTTTCTTGGTAGGAAAAATGTCGTTGTCGGTGATGCCTAGTCTTCACTCTTCACAGGCAGGAACTCTACCAGTGGAGAACAACAGACCATGGAGTTGACAGGCTTTAGGCTTCGACCCCCCTCAACTACAAGTCGTTTTGACCCCACCCTCTTTCCAGTTGCTTTTTAAAGAATTCTCAAGTCCTTGTAAATAGAGATGCCAGTGTTTGACCAAAAAAATTAGAGATGCCAGTGATACTTTAGCACCTGGAAGTCTCAGACACTAAGCTCGAAATAGTAGAAGACAAAAAGGGTCACACCTTTCTTAATTAAACATTTTTTTGCTCATTCTTGTAGCATGCATCATTTTTCTAATTTAACTTCTGGTATGTGTACATTCTTAAAATTAAAATAGGAATGTATAAAAATGCTTAATTGAAAATTACTATGGGAAGATCCCAAAAAAAACTTATTAAATTTTAAAATCTCAAATTAGAAATTATTAAAAAAAATGTTATCATTTACTTTTTAAATTTGCTCAGTTGCTAACAACTAAGACTTATAATTATAGATAAAAAAAAACAAATAATGAGGGAGAGGTATTTTTATAAGTAAATATTTGCCCCTATTTATTTTTATTTTTAAAGCCTTCTTGCTTTTCCCACATTTGACAATAACGTCATCATCGTACAATTATTACTTCAACGGCCAACGATGTGTCATTTTCCCTAATAAATACAGTTACCGTATACTAGTATCTTGGTGTAATGTTCCAAGATACTTCTGAATGCTTTCTTCCTTCTTTGAACTTTCGTCAGAGCCGCCTGTTTCTAGTACTTTTCCCGGAACATTCATTCATTATCCCCTGTTTCAAAGGAACTATTACTTCTGATCAACATAAGACCCTCATGATCATCATCTTCGCACTCTTTTCTTATTTGGGTTTGAGTTTCATAAACCAAAAATCACATTTTCTCCGATCGACTTTCCTTCGTTAATCGCCAGAAAAGTCTCAGGTACGGTTCTTCTCCGATCACCATCAACGTCAGCTTATCAGAAACTTCAGAGCATAGTCCTTTTATTTCTTTTAATTTCTGATTACTGATTAATTGTATATGCTTAAGATCCGATCCATCTGGATTTTGACCATCGCTAATTATTATGGGTTCCATGTTAGAATTAAGGGCACGATAATCCGAGTGAGAAACACAACACGCCAGATTCGAATGGATAGGGATGGCAATTGTTTGGTGGCAACTAGATCATTCATGTCATCCGTATGGAGGGAAGGCAGTCGCATAATTATCACGAGTAAGATTTAAATTTTGCTTCGTCATATTGTGGAAGTATTATCTGTTTTTGTTAGACTCAACACCGGTTGATATTTTCATTTTTATTTTAACGACGTGTCGATAGAAATTCTGGGTACCCAATCAACAATTTGATGATTTCAGATCTTCTGTATACTTTTTCCCCATGATGAGCATTGCGTACTTATTTTATGGAAAATGCATATGAAGTATGCTGGTTTCATGTGGACGCACTATAGTCTAGCTTTTTCCCCCTAAATTTCTTTCAACTAAATTATTTAAAATGTTCGGTGGTAATAAATATTTTAAGACAACAAAATTTAGATCAAGTTTTTTAATCACACATATTAATTTGGTATTATTAGTTGGTTGTTAAAATGCATATATATATTATATGCACTGTTAAATTCACTTATGAAGTTAATCTAATAAATATAACTAACTTCATCTAAGTTTTATCCATTATTGAATAAAAAGAAAAGTTTGGATTGCAAGAATTCTGACCGAATCATTTCTACGTATATTGCAGTTTGCCTTATGAGCATAGTGGGGATAGCAATCGTTTTGCGTGGACATCGGACCCTACTCATTATTTTCGGCAGCGTGGGTAAGATTTACGTACAGCATTTTAAAGGTGAAAATAATAATAGAAGCACCAACAGTTTATTGGTTGAAATAGTAAGTGATTTTACTCTGTAAGGAGTAGAAAACAAAATTTAAAATTTAAAAAGCATACTTGTTGGAGAATTTTAACCTTAATATTTTCAACCTGACATAGAATAGTCTTGAGTGTAAAGTGACTTGAGAATACCCAGAGTCAAGCAAAATAATAGGAGATCTATGAAAATGACTAAATTATATGATTAACCTACAAGGCAAATTTGGCTTAAAATTTTTGAAAGTTTTGTTGTTGCAATAATTGTGACTGATTATCACTCATATATGTGTATGCCTGACTTGTAGTCGGGGTCATTGGCCTTGCATTACTTACCATGTTACTACGTCGTATTGAGGACGCGGATAAGTTTCTGACATTTACTATGGAAAAGTTTCTGAATGATTTGGAAAGACAAGGCCCAACAAAGTTCACATCATTTGACATAATGCGTGCAACGAACAACTACTCCGCCATGTTGGGGTCGGGAGGCTTTGGATCAGTTTATAAAGGAACATTTATTGACGGATCTGTTGCGGCAGTGAAAGTTCTACGTGGTGGCGTTTCTGCCAAGAGAATGGAGGAGCAATTCATGGCTGAAGTTGGCACAATTGGGAGAGTTCATCATATGAATCTGGTTCGCCTCATTGGATTCTGCGTTGAAAAGGATACGACAGCTCTAGTTTATGAGTACATGAGCAATGGCTCTCTTGACAAACATCTGTTTGCTAGTGAAAAGAATAAGAACTTGGCATTTGAGAAGCTTCATGAGATTGCGGTTGGAACAGCCAGAGGGATTGCTTACTTGCATGAAGAATGCCACGAGGATCATCCACTATGATATAAAACCAGAAAACATCCTCTTGGACCATATTTTGCATCCTAAAGTTTCCGATTTTGGTTTAGCCAAGCTTTGTAACAGGGAAAACTCTTATGTCACAATGACAGGCCTAAGAGGGACACCGGGTTATGCTGCACCAGAACTTTGGATGCCTTTCCGTGTAACTCACAAATGTGATTTTTATAGTTTTGGAATGTTATTGTTTGAAATCGTAGGAGGAAGAAGAAACCTCGTTGGGGACCTCCCAGAAAGTCAAGAGTGGCTTCCTATGAGGGGTTGGAAAAAATTTGAGAGTAAAAATCTAAAAGAGTTGATAACAGATTGTGATATTGAAGATAAAGACGAAGAGATGGCAGAAGGAATGGTAGAAATAGCTCTGTGGTGTGTTCAGTATAAACCAGAATTGAGACCTAAGGTGAGTGATGTGGTGAAAATGTTGGAAGGCTCCACGGATGCTGCAGACCCTTCAAACCCATTTCAACACTTGATGGATGAGGCAGATCAAGTGGATAGTAGTATTGATGGTGGCTCATCTACTCTTGAAGGAACTGAATCTTCCATTGTGAGTGCTCCTCCTTTGTTTGATGAGATCCAAATAGATTCCAGCCAAACTTAATTAGCAAAAACCATTTTCCCTTTAGATGACATACACATCTTCCTATGCTTTAATTTAGAGTTTAGCTTCTGCATTGTGTATCTTATGGATCCACATCTTATTTCTGGTGCGAGAGATATATATTTCATGCATTTTTAATTTTTAAATTTTGTTTGTTGTTCAACTTTCTAGGGTAACCAAAAAATATATATCAATGACTTTGACGCACGTACGACGAGGAAACAGAGTGTAACTGCCAAAGAAATGAAAAAACAAAAGACGTACCCGTGCAGACTGCAAGACCAGAAAATGTGTGTGTGTTTTTTTTTGTAGGCACTCATATCCTCTTATTAGAGACAATCATGTGTTGGACACTAAATATAGATACTTCTTCTATCCGAAAAAGGAAAAGGAACGAAAGGTGAAAGGAGTTATTACTGCAGCAATTGGGTTGTTCTGAATGAACAGCAGAGATAGTCATCTTACTTTCTGCAAAAGAAAACAATTTAAATTGTTAGAAAATTTGAAGTACACTGTCTTATGATTTGCCTTCCTTTTTTCCTCACACGGTCTGCGTCGTATTTAAAAAGGATTCGGCCAGGTTTTTCTATTTTGGGACTGATTGGTTTTTATATGCAGCGAGGCTAAAATTACGTGTACTTGCTCCTCATTTTCCAACTAGAGGAGATCGTGAACGTTTAAATTTAACGTGATACTTGATAGCCACTATTAATAAAATAAAATAAAAACATCAAATTTCAATTTGGACGTGCTAAAATAGTAGCATCCTCTGCTCTCATAGTAATGCATACATATATATATATATATATATATATAAAAGATTGATGAAAGTTTAATGAAAATGATTAAATTGAAAAATGGAAATTATAAAAAGTCATATAACAATTTGACATAGCACAATATATATAAATATATATATAGTTATTTTGTGGCGGTAAGAACTTTGACCGAATCAACTATTGTGGGCTTTGTTATAAAAGCATTCATTTGGATTGCCAGTCCTTATCACTCTCTACTCAGTTAAGATTTTGATAGTTATACTTCCTTTATTTCTTAATATAATAGTTAGATAACTAATATATAAAAATTAAAAAAATTAGTAGCCTTCATTTAATTTGAATCCAATTCCTACCATTTTGGATTTTGCTTCAAAGAGAATATGAGGACTCTCTAGTTTATGCGTATGAGTGTAATGGCTCCCTTAATAGTGATTTGTTTGGTGAAAACAACATGCTAACATTTGATAATTAGCTTGGATTTAAAAAAAAAAATCACCCGTATTATTACGGACATCTAACACATTTCTCACGCATAATTAATTTTCTTTCCTATTTTTCTTTTCGCTCATTAGGTTTGCATCGTATTTTTAGGTGCGACACTTGTCTTATATGAAATTTATAGAAAAAATTTTAATTTTTATAAAACGATACTTGTCCTATATATTGTTTGTTCAAATCTAAATAATTTATTTATACTCATTGTGCACATGAAACATTTACTAAGAAAAGTACTGGAATTTTCAAGCATGGAAAGATTCCTCAACAACATCGACCAAGAGGAACCCGTCAGATTCTCACCGGAGCAACTTGGCCAAATCACAAACAACTACACCACTGTTCTGGGGTCTGGTGCTTTTGGAGAGGTTTGTAAAAGTGAATTGTCAAATGGACAGCAAGTTGCAGTGAAAGTTCTCAAAAGTTTGGATCCTGGGACAGAAGAGCAATTCAAAGCAGAAGTTAGCACTATTGGAAGAACTTACCATATCAATGTAGTTACGCTTTATGACTTCTGCTCCCACCGTGACAAGAGAGCTCTTATATACGAGTTTGTGCAAAATGGGTCTCTCAACAACTTATTATTTGGCAGTCTGAGCACAGAAATCCAGTGTGGGAAGCTTCATGAGATTGCAATTGGAACAGCAAAAAGAATTGACTACTCACATGAAGAGTGTCAACAAAGAGTCATTCTTTACGCTATTAAACCGGAGAATATACTTCTGGGCCTGAACTTGGAACCAAAAGTTGCAGACTTTGGTCTTCCAGTCTGTCTAGTAAATAAACCTTTTTAACCCGTCCTATCAGGTCCGCATAACCAGTCCAAAATCTTCTCACCCTCCTCATCAATTCCAATTCGATGACCCTCTTCTGTCATTTTTTTTTTTTGAATGAAACTGAATAACAAGTCTCGAAACAACAAAATAAGAGAGAGCAAGAACCTATCGTTCATCAACCTCTACCTGTTGGATAAGAGGGGGAGGATAATAAAAAAGCCAAAAATTCCCTTCTAACCTATGAGAAAGTTTTGCTAAACTATCAGCAATGGTCATGTCCTCTCTTGGTACATGAGAAACTATGACCTGCCAATCCCTGTTAATCAACAACCTAACATCATCAATAATGTCCTTGAAAGGATGGTCATTATTGTATCCTCTAAGAGCAAAATTGCCTGCAGCTATACAATCAGAAAATAAAATAATTTTCCTTCATTACATAATATTGGCACCATCTGTCAATGCTCATGCATATAAAAGTGGTACGTGAACCATAATTCATGGTGTTTGATTCCACAATATAAAAGTAGTACACAAGAGTATGACAGTATAAAATCAACGATTGCGGCTGGGAATATTATTTCTTCATTACATGTATTGGCACCATCTGTCAATGCTCTTGCATGAAAATAGTCACACTTTTATGGATGTGGGCTGTCTTAAAAGGTACTACCTCCTATCCTTAATATAAGACCCCGTTTGACTTGTGTTGGTCCTAAATATGATACCCCAATCTATTTTGTCTATCATATTTACTCAATTTTTTTCAAGATAGTTCTTCTAATAATTATAGTTTTAGCTAACATACTTGATTAGTAAGGATATTTTAGGAAAGACAACACCTATTTATTACAAATAACTTACTTAACTTCTTTTCTTAATTTTCTCAAATTAGTCAGGCTCTTATAATTAGGACCGGAGGTGGTAGTATTGATTTACTTTGGTTGTTTATTGCTAGAATTGGATCTAAAGAAATAGAAAAGGAGGCAAGATTCTTATATTTGAGGAACCTGAAACTTACTCCGTATGGTATATAAAAAAACACTGTATAACAGTGTTCAAGTGTGCTCAGGTAAATTAGAATTTTGTACGAAAATTGAAGTATACTTAAGTAACTTGGAATATATTTGAGCAAATTCCAATGTGATGAAAAAAATTCAAATTTTTTTGAGCAAATTCGAATTTAATAAAAAAAATTTGAATTTGCTGCATCAAATTCGAGTTTGCTTGCTCATTTTATTATCATATTAAAGTTTAAATTTTATCGAACATAACTTTACAAATAAGAACTTTTTTTATGAGAATAATATTTATATTTTTTATGAGAATGGTATTTATATTTATATATTTTTTCATATTCAAATTGAGTATTTCTTTCTTTAATATATTTTATTTACACTTTTTTATTTAATTTTTTTATTTATTTTTAATCATTTAATATCTATAATGATTTTTATATTTATATTGAACATCCATGTTTATTTAAATTATAATTTATTAAAATTTTTAATAATGTTATTATTCTGTCAGATTAAAAAGCACTTTTATATTTATATTGAATATTCATATTTATTACAAGTGGAGGGCTTGGTATTTCCTCTTATAAATTTTTTAATAATACTAAATTATTTTATTAAGGGCAATATGATTAATTTGGTTTATTTTTTCATTTATTTTCATCCAGCTAAATATAAATTTTTCATTGAATCAATTTTAGTTTCTAGTAAACATTCACTTAGCTGGAAATTTTTTTTCCTCTTTCTTTCAATTCATTTTATTCCAATCTATTTTTCAAACCAAACGGGCCTTTATGATCTGTCTTGTGGATCCCTAGACGTTTTATGGAAAAAATTAAAATGCATGACAACCAGTCGAAATAAAAAGTGTGAGGAAATTGCTAATGAAATTACCTAATAAAATTAAATGAGTATGCCAGAGAAATATCGACCTATGGGAGAAACTTTTGTCACAGTTCGCAAATTGTATATAAATTCATTAAAAAAAAAAAAGGATGCCTGAAGAAGTTGGACTCTGAGGTGGAACCTCCAATACATAGTATGACAATAGATTGCGCCTAAACGGATACCTTTCCTAAAATGAATCCATTCATTGTTTAAAAAAAGTTATGGTGGTTCAAGCGTCAAGTATACGCTATTTCTCAAATTATTTTGTGATGTGTATTTTTTCATCCTAAATTATTTCCTGGTGCATCAGCTTAAATTATAAAGTGTAAAATTGGACTAAAAAATATTTTAGAATGCTAGATGTATCTGAAAAAAATATTTCAAGATACTAGATAAATCACAAAATGCTTCAGAATATTAGATTAGATATACCTGAAAAAATATTTTAGGGCGCTAGATGCACAATTTTTATTTGAAAAGAAAACAATGAGATCCAATGATAAACTTTATTTGTACGGAAGATTCATCCCAAATTCTGAATAATTAGTTTATTTTACGCCTTTTTGATGTGCTTGAACGTGGTTAATTATAGAGTCAATAGAGATTAATTCAATTAGTAACGATTTGGCCTATAATTTAATTTATAAGATTTTGAGTGAAATATAGGTACCTTTAAAAGCACTCTTTTGACTTAAAAGCACATCTTAACTCTAATAAGCTCTTATAATTTAAGCATTTAACTCACTGGAACTTTATATGGAAAAAAATAGCATTCCTTCTATTCTTATTTATAAGAGACTTTTTTTTTTTTTTGAAAAGGTATGTTCTTTTTTATAAAAGACATTTTAAAATTTACCCTCAATTAATTATATGTTTCTCTCTCTCTTTTTTCACTCATTCTTTCTCCCACCCACATTTTCCATGAATAAGGGTGCTTTTGAAAAATAAATTATATTTGTTTTACATATTTATTACTTTTAACTAATTTTAGCTAACCTTTTGATCAATATGATGCGATGAATCATCTTTTACAGAATGAAACAGAGAGAGCGGTGGATAATAACTATTAGGTTTACGTATTCTAATGAGCTATTACTGCTCTGCTAGCAAGAGGAAGATGATGAGAAATGAAATTTCCTTATTTCCGTTTTTTTTTAACAGAAATTTTAGCCAAGTGTACAGACTCAATCTAAGCTGGAGAGCTCGATCCAACTCTTCCTAGATCGTACCATCTCCATGCAAAACACGTTATGGGGCTGTACAGAAAAACGCGTTTACGGGGCCCTAATCGTCAGATGCTCGTATCCACCATCATGTTACCGTAGGGGTTTTATGTTTACATCTCATACACCTCTGTCCACTGGCTTGCTCTTTTCCGCCATTATTTATTCATTCATTCTAAGTTTCCAACATTTTATTCAAGTTTTAAGAATAAAGATTATTTTAGTTTCGAGTCTCCTCCGTCGTTCATTAATTAACTCAAGCAAAGATTTTCCAATGCCGTATCTTCCTCCGTCTGGTTCTTGTGTGGCATGGTCAACGGCTGGGTCTATTGGTATGAAGCTACTACTCTCTTCATTCATGGTTTATTTTATGCTTATATTTTGAACTGAGGAGTATAAACGCATAAGGCAATTGCCCGTGGGTCCCCACGGCCTTGCTTCAAAGCTCAAAATGATTAAAACTAAGCATTTACAGAGATAATCTTGATTTTTCAGAATCTTGATTTTTCAGAATTTTTCTTTTTAATTTAGAATCACCCTTGTTTTAGTTTTCTTTGATCTTCTTGTTCCATTTTGATTTTCAGTCACAGCGGTGGTGGTTATAGCCATTATAGCAATAGCATATGCCGTTGCTAAGTGCATGAAGAAAGCACCAACAACCCAGATTTCAACAACAGATCATCACAATAACATGCATTCTTCAAACAACAAGGAAATCGTGTTAGTAAAACCGCCAGATTCAGATTCACAGGTACTGGAGTTCGCAACCATGGAAAGATTCCTCAACAACATCAACCGAGAGAAACCCATCAGATTCTCACCTGAGCAACTTGAAGAAATCACAGACAACTACACCACTGTTCTGGGGTCTGGTGCTTTTGGGGAGGTTTATAAAGGTGAATTGTCCAATGGACAGCAAGTTGCAGTGAAAGTTCTCAACAGTTTGGATCTTGGCGCAGAAGAGCAATTCAAAGCAGAAGTTAGCACTATTGGAAGAACTTACCATATCAATGTAGTTATGCTATATGGCTTCTGCTTCCACCGTGAAAAGAGAGCTCTTATATACGAGTTTGTGCAAAATGGGTCTCTCAACAACTTATTATTTGGCACTCTGAACACAGAAATCCAGTTTGGGAAGCTTCATGAGATTGCAATTGGAACAGCAAGAGGAATTGCCTACTTACATGAAGAGTGTCAACAAAGAATCATTCATTACGATATTAAACCAGAGAATATACTTCTGGGCCAGAACTTGGAACCAAAAGTTGCAGATTTTGGTCTTGCAAAACATTGTAGCAGAGAAAGAAGCCGCGTGAATATGTCTCAGTTCAGAGGAACAAGAGGGTATGCTGCACCAGAATTATGGAAGTGTTATCCTGTGAATCATAAGTGTGATGTTTATAGTTTTGGCATTGTCCTCTTTGAGATTGTAGGGAGAAGAAGGCATTTTGATTGTGGCTACAGTGAATCACAACAATGGCTTCCAAAATGGACATGGGATATGTTTGAGAATAATGAACTACCAATGATGATTTCGCTGTTTGGGATTGAAAAAGAGAAAGACAGGGAAAAGGCCAAGAGAATGTTAATGGTGGCCCTTTGGTGTGTTCAATATTTGCCTACTGATAGGCCTCTTATGAGTAATGTGGTGAAGATGTTGGAAGGTGATATAGAAATCGCTGCCCCGCCATTTCCCTTTCAGAATTTGGTGGCTGCTAAACCAAGTTTTACACCAAAGGGAACCGATGCAGATTCAGATGCTTCTTATTCAGTAGTGGCAGAACCTTCTGATGAGCAATGCAGTTCTAAACCGGTGCAAAATATAGATACCGTATAGAAAAATCTACACAGACGTATGTCACTTTGTATTAGTATGTTACGTTACAAGATG